ACCCACCCGCTGCTCCCCTCAGCAGTGTACTTCGTCCATCTGCCTGTTCTGCTCCCCACTCTGTCTCTGGTGAAGCTTCTCACCGCCCCTGAGCCTCTGGCCTGTACCCCAATTCTGTATGTACAAATAAAAAAATCTTTAAAAAAAATAGAGAAAGAGGGGAAATAGTCTTCACTGAAGCAAGGATAAAAAAACAAAGCAGATTAGAGCAGACCAGGGGGAAGGCAGGACATGCAGCAAAGGTGAGGTGATAAGGGAACCTCTCAGGGCTGCCTCAGGGGTGGGGCCAGCATTTGGCGGGCTCCAGGTCTCCGTCCTGAGCTGCCATCATCGCATGTGGAGTTAAATTCAGCCTGTGGGATTTGCAAAGACCTTGCAGATGGTGTATTTGCAACAGTTGGGGAAGGATGAGGAAGGTGTTTTAGAGCAATTGCTGCGCCCTTGGGACGGTTTAGGAAACATGGGGAAGCAGCAGGTAGCCCCCAAAACATCTCCACGTGTTCATGGGGTGTAGCGATGGCGGTTCATCCTTGGGCTGCAAAAGCCTCAGGCATATAAGGATGGTGATAACATGAAATCAATCCTTAAAACATTCTGTCCGTGAGATTCCCTGCTTTTCTGTCCTCCTTGCCCTCATGGGTTGGCTGTGTCGGGGTCTGGTCTGTTAAATACTGTAGTCAGTCAGTCTCTGCTGTTTCACTCAGCCTCTAGCGGATTAGTAATGTCTTCAACCGAATACACAGTTAGCTGGGATGCTAACCCATTGTATAGATTATTCAATAATATTGCAATGTCTTTATTTCATCTGAGTTTCTTCATCATAATCATCTAGGTTCCTGAGTGAGTCAGGAAATTGATTTTTTTTACTTTTTTCAAAAAAATATTTATTTTATGTATGCATAGACAAATTGGGGGTGTTGGCCAGTGGTGTGGGGTGGGGATTGAGAGGATGCACCAGAGACAGAGTGGGGAGCAGAACAGGCAGATCCACTGAAACACAGTGCTGAGGGGGGCAGCGGGAGACAGGAGAGGTCTGCTGCGCCCTGTGGGTCGGCCAGCTGTACTTTTAAGGTCACGCTGGCTGGAGGAGGAACAGTATTGACTTTGGAAGCCTGTCACGTGCACTGCTGCCTCTACGTGCCAGGAGGAATTTTGCCTACTCTCACCTTGTCAGCCCCACTGAAACCACTGGGAGTCAAGAACTTGGGCTTCAAAGTCAACGTGCCATGATCATCCTAGCACTGGGAGACCTCCAACTGTCGAGTTATCCTCTTTCTGCCTCAGTTTCATGGATGACAACAGTACTGATAACATAGACACATGTTGGGGATGAGAGAATAAATACGTGTGGGTGCACAGACCTGGGCCATTGCTATTACTCCTCTGGAACAGTTACAATAATTACTATTGCCACTGGAATTACTATTATAGTATTAAATGCTGCTCTATGAGACTTCTGCTTCCATCTTCATTGTGGTTCTAAACTGCTCCCACAGATCTATAAAACAGCAGCTGGGAATAGAGCTCCCCAACCACAGAACCCACCTATCCTGGGGGCTGGACCCCCCTGGAATGAACCTCTGACAGCAGCATGGGGCTACTCATCAGAGCGCAGCTAGTCTTATACCCCACCCTCTTGAAGGGGGGCTCCAGGGGTGAGGGGCCCAGGAGGAAGGATGAAGCCCAGGAAGGCTGGGCTGTTCCTCTGTCAGCTGCCACTTTGGGGATGAGGCGGGGTCCCTTACGCCCTGGGCTGGAGCACTAGAAATGAGCAGGGGAAGGATGCTCCAGGGGGCTGAACACTGGGCCTGGCAACACCTTCCAGGGAAGGGAGACCCTGGGGAAACGTTTTCCTCTTTCACTAGCACCTTCCCACACTTGTAAGTGGATATGTTTTCAAAATATTTTTTGTTCCTTTTCTCATTTGACTTTCTTGAGAGATCCATAAGATGGTAGTTAATGGCCCCCTTCACAGATGTGAAGACTGAGACTCAAGAATTGCAGTGACTTATCCCAGTCACTATGTGGCTGCAGGGAGGATCAGGACATGTCACCTTCCTGCCATCAGTCATCACGCTGCAGTCATCTTCTGCACTGGAGCCTCAATGCTGCGTGTGGTACAGCCCAGGTCCTGGTAGTGGCAAGGTCTGATCCCCACACCAGCCCGCACCCCCTTGGGTTCCACCCCCACCCCACGCGTCACAGCTTCTTCAAGCACCAACACAGGACCACGCAGCTGCAGACTGTGCTCCTCAAAGATCACTCTGCTATTCTGCTGGTTGCTTTCAATTCCATTCCTGTCAACCCTGTCTTTTACAACTGCCAGGCTGCCTAGATCAGAGGATTAATCTGGCCGGGAGGTGGAGCTGGCTGGGACCTGCAGGGTGTGTCTTGGAGGGGAGAAGACAGCCCTTGTTTGTGGGTACAGCGACACCTAGTGGGCCCTGTGTTCTCACATCCTCCCTCCTCTGCAAGCTGCTGTGGCCGGGAGACTGGCAAGTTCGCCCATTCACCTGCTGCAGCCCCAAGGTCTGTGGTGAGCCTGCATCTGCTCCCAGGTCTCCTGGTTCACACCAGGGATAACTGATCTCCTGGGGATGTTCCACATGCAAAAGATCGTCATTTATTTGTTGGCATTTAAAAAAAATGAACGCACACTCTACTAGCCCTTTACTGATAAGACAGGTATCCAGAATTAAGACATTAGAGCCAGAGAGTGGCAAAACCAGGAGTCCCTGTCCCCCGATTTTACAGAATCCCAGCTGTGATCCCCCAACCTGAGCTTACTTTCTCAGCTACCCCATCCCTACCCCATAGAATTCAAGAGGCTTCCTGACTTTTATTTCACTTTATTCTTAACCAAGAAGTCCCGGTGAAGTCCTCAGTGACCACCCGCAACAGCTAGCCACTGAGCACCTGCCGGGAGGAAAACACCAAACAGAGGATGGCTGCTGGGTGCGAAGGTCTCGGCCACCCGGTCTTGTACCTTAAAGCAGCAGGACAGGGCATCGTGTAATAATCAAAAAACTCTGCGAGTGAGTTTTCCTTTCCTCCAGCCCTACCCTCAGGCTCAGAGACAAGTCAAGGGGAAGACGCTAGGCTCTCTTGCAAGGGGCAAACTTTGATTTGGGGTGACCAGTCGTGACGATGGCTTGGAGGGAGCAGTGTGCTGACATCCCCCCACTTGTGGGGAAGCAGTGTCCTCTGGGAAGTCTGGATTTCAGCAGAGAGCTGTGCAGCTCCCCTGAAGGAGGGGAGGAAGGGCGGTCAGGCACTCTAAAGCCAGCTTTGCTCCTAGCCAGGGGACCCTGTGCTGCTGAGACCCTAAGTTGCTGTGCACCCCGAGCCCAGACCCCGGTGGACACCAGACAGAGTGGGACACACACCACTTGTACAAACCGTTCATTTTATTTCCCGTATCGGGTTTATACAAACTTGCAAGATACAAACGCAGAGCTCACTGGGATTCTTCAGTACCTAGGTCTAAAAACAGTGCTGTTGAGAGCGGGATGAGGACTCACCTACTTCAGTCAGGCACCCCCTTCCTGGGACGGGAGCTCCTTGGCTAGAAAGATGCTGGGGGCTGCTGCGGCTTCTTGGTCCCTGACAGACGGCCTCTGCTTATCTAACCTTAACTCTCTTCTAAGGTCACTTTTCTACTCAATAAAGACACTGAGATCATAAATGTCCTTGTATGGTTTATTGTCTAATACTAACATCAAATTGACCCCAATATGTGCATAAATAGATATATGTATATATATGTATATTTAATATTTTTTCTTTAGTTTTAAGAGCTGCCAGGTAGGGGGTGTCTAAAGGGGGAAGAAGTTGATTCTGTCTTGCTCTAGTCAGCCCTGCCCCAAGAACATGCCTCTCCCCAAGGCAGGGGAGCCAGGGCGCACAGCTCGTAACCTCGGAAATCTTTAAAGTGACAGTAGCAGTATTTGATTGCAGCCTCTCGGTTATTGATCAGGAAGGTAATGTGCTAATTGGAAGGTCCTGGATTAGGACCCAGAGCTGTCCCCAGCTGGGTTATTTAGCCCTGGGCCTCCATCTAGGCCCCATTCATTCACAGCAAGATGCTCCAGCCTGGGGAGAGGGTACTATTGATAGGAAATGTCAAAGTTGGAAGATCAGGCTGAAAATGCTGGCTGGGAGCTCGTGCTGGGTTCCCAAACCTCTATTCCCAGTCTAGACAAAAGCCTTCCGTTCCACCCAAATCCATGCAAGGCCAGAGCCCTTGCTGACTTGGGCAGTGGGTAAGCAGTTTAGAAGGCTGAGCTGATTAGCCAATCACCCCAGCGGCAGCTTGCTGGAGGGCAATCCCGTGGGCAGAAGCCTGGGATGTCACGTTGTCCATAGAAGCTGACTTCACAGCCTGGATACCAGACTGAGCTATCTTCACTTTAACTACGGCCCCCAGAGAGAGATCACAGGGGGAGACAGATGCTGCAGATGTGACCCAGACCTGACAGATCAGGCGACAAGGAGTATGGCAAATCCAAGGAACTTGAATGTTTCCATGCCGAAGGGCCTGTGATCCTTTGACCTTTGCACCCTATCTTGGGTCCATGTAGGAACAGCTGTCGGCATGGGCTGCCCCTAGACTGCCTTTTCCAGCCCGGTGATGAAGGGAGTGATCTAGGAGTGCATGGGGGAATGGGGAGGTGTGCCGACTTGGGGGTAACTTTTGTGCACACAGCTGTAAACATTTCCTTCAAGAGGATTCATAGCCAATGACCGTAGAGGGTCATCAAGAGTTGACAGTGTGATCAAGCCTAGGCCCGGACGTCCAAGAGTGTGTCCTGTCCTGACAAGACACTCTGGGACTCGGGGTGGGGTGGAGTGGGGGGAGGAACTCTGGGCACCAGCCCTATGCAGACTAGGGCCGGAGAGGAAGGAAGCTGCCAGGCAGAGAGGGAAGGGCGCAGGGCTGGGACCTAGAGGCAGCCACCCCAGTCTCCTCCAATCACTTGCCAATTCCATTCAGACATTGCACAATTCGAAAATAGATTTGCTTTTATAACAAAAGCATAAAATAGATCTGTCTTAAAATATGTCTTTCCTCTCCTCTTCTTTGGATCAAAGGCATATAGGGACCGCAGCATGCGATTAGGAAGAGGAAACAGGCCTACACAGGCGTCTAAGGAAAGGATCAGACCTCCGGACAATTACATATATTACATATATATCTCAAATGTGTATAATTATCATAAAACATATATTAAGGCATGTCAAGCAACATAAAGAGCCAGCTTTATGAAATAAGAGATGAGAGGTGGCGGAGGGCAGACACGGGTCCTTGGCATTTTACATGGATTTCTAAAAAATATCACTTAAAAAAAGGAGAGACAGACAAAGAAAGACGAAGGCATGGAAGGCCCTGAAAAATCTGCTTCTGGTGGATGGGAAAAGGTTGGGAAGGAGAGGGTTGCCTGGGAGCCAATCTCACAGCCAGTCTGTCGGGGAGAAAGGGCAGATCTGGGGGTGTTTGAGCTGCTCTGGAGGAGGGAAATGGAGCCAACCATCATGGTCAAAAAACCTGCAAGAAGGGATGCTAAGTGGAAGCCCCCAGCCTGGCACCCTTGGGAGCATTAGACTATCCTAAGCACCTAGAACAGTGCCTGGCACATAAAAGGTGCTCAATAAACATCTGCTGAATGAACTGTCATCTTTACTTGCATATGAACCAGTAGCTGTCCCAGCCATGGAGTGGAGAAGAACTGATAGAAGATGATGAAGTTGATCTTGGGGCTGCCGGAAGTCAAGGCTGAAGTCTCCAGGTTCAACAGACGGCGGGGAGGCCGCACTCTCTCCTCTCCGGCTACATTCATCTCATCTCAAGGTGGGTGGAGGGAGGAAGAACGCGCTTTGCTTCTGTCTCTCCCTGACCAGCCTCTCTCTTGGGTGGGTGGAGAGAGAGCCACGCTAGAAGGGAGTTTGGGAGTGACACACAACAGGTCCTCACCTGGGGTGCCCAGGATATGGGTAGGGCCCTAGACTCTGGCCGCTAAGCTTCAGCCCGCATCCCTCTTCAGGGGCAGACTCTACTGGCCCACAGCACGTTCAAGGAGAAGGGGGAGGAGGACAAGCTGTGAAAATGGTGACGAAAGGCCCCGAGGCTGACCACACGCTACACAAGACAGGTCTTACTCTCTGCCTGTGAGCCCAGAACGGGGAGGCGAACCCCAGATCCAGGCCCAGAGCCATCTCCCCATCTGTCCTACTCACATCCTCTCCGGACACCTCCACCCATGCACCTGGCGTGTGCTCAGGGGAGGGATCCCCTGGACCCCGCTGCCCTGGCGAGGCGGCAGGAGGCCCAGCTGACAGTCCCGCTCTGTACTCACGCTAACCCGAGGTTCCACCTAGAAGGCCACCCAGCCCCTTCCCATCGTCTCCTGCTCCTCTTCCCTGCCCAAGTGACTTGCCGCTGCCCACTCTTCCCTCCCTCCGTGGATTCCTTGGTCCCGCCACCTTCTCGACCTGCTCTCCCCACGCTGCACAGACCCCGCTCCGCTCTCTCCACAGCTAGGCCTGTCCTCTTACCCTCCCCCCTCCCGTCTTCTTGTCTTTGGCTCAAGCAGAGTGGTCAGCCTCATGGACTCCGGGAGAGCACCCCTTAGCAGAGATGGGTTGGGGTGCTGGGTACAGCTGGGGCTCCGGGCGTGGCTGCTGGGGGGGAAGATGACAGCAGATGCTGTCCTTCGTGTCCGGGGCGGCCAGAAGGTAGAGTAACGTCTCCTCTGCCCCTCTCGTCCTGCCTGCAGGCTGCCCGGATGAGATCCCCACCAGGGCGTTTTCTCTGAGTTCCGGTGGAGTCATCCCAGCCATGGCCAGACGCGGACCTGGCCGCTGTGGCTCGGGCGTCGGAGGAAGGTGCCCCTGTCCTGCCAGCTCAGGCTCCGGTCTAGGACATTTGAGGAGTGAAGGCTTCACAGCTGGGCACGGTGGGCGCATGGACACTGAGGTATCTGCTCTCCTCTCGGCAGCACCCCTGACCCCCAGCCCATTCCCAGGGGAGCGCCAGGCCAGGGGCCAGGTTAGGGACCTGGGGCCTCAGGTGGACAGAGGCGGCTTCAGAACGTGGCTCTCTGGAGCTTCACAGCGTTGGCCTCAGCCAGGGCTTGCACTAAAGAGAAGAGAAATGGCTGAGGAAAGGTAGTACCGAGGGCCGGGCCTCCCGCCAGCCGTCCCCAGGACAGAGAAGCCTTATCTTACAGACCCTTGAGGAAGCCCACCCACGCCCTTGCCCTGAGAGAGGGGAGCAAGTGAATGGAAGTTGAGTTTCCACTTGCCTGACAGCGAGGGCCTGTGCTGGGGTAAGGGGTGGGCTCGTGGCCTGGGCCTCTAGCTAGCTGTCCAGTGTTATTTTATTCTACAGTAAGGTCTGGGAGAAACCAGGTCCAGGAGAAACGGTTTCTGGGGCTTCTCAGGCAGGGCTGCTGAGTACTCACAGACGAGAGGCCCGAGGGCCGGCAGGCGGCAGGGGCCCTGGGGGGCTGTCACCCTTGACAGGGACAGGTGCGGATAGCATGGGCTGGCCGGCTCTTGCTTCAGGAGAAGCAAAGCCCAAGGGCGCTGCAGCCCCAGAAGCGGCCCTGCCCCGGGCTCCAGCCAGCACCGCCCAGGACTCGGGCTCAAGCAGGTGGGCGAGGGATGCAGGGGTGAAGCGGAGCCAATGCGAGGGTGTGGATGGCCCGATGTGGGGGAGGAGGGCCCTGCTGCCCAGGGGGATGAGACACAGTAGAAAGTGCTTACGTCAGAGCTCAGACCCGCATGATATGGCTGCTGTCGGCGCCCCGGAGGGATTCAGACGACAGGGGGTTGGCTGGTGGAGTCGGGGAGGCGGGGGAGGTGGGAGGGCTTGGGGTGGCACATTGCACTGGAAACAGAAATGAACAGGGGAGTGAATTGGGTGAGGGGGCTGGGGGCAGCGAGCAGCTTGGGCGGGGCGCCCAGAGGGAGGCGGGAGGTGAAAGCAGGAGGCGGCTGAGCTGGGGACTTGCTGAAGCGGAGGCGAAGCTGCCTATGGCCCAGGCCCGGAGGAGGGTGGCCAGAGTGGCTGCGGGCGAGGCCTGGTGCCCCTGGGGCTCCGTCCCATCAGCACCCCGGGAGTCCCAGGCCTCTCCAGCAGGGTGCGGATGACGCTGGCAGCTCATCTAAGGCAGCACCAACAACGATAATGACGACGACTTGGTAAAATCACACTCATCCACGTTGCAGGCCCGTTTGGGGTCATCGAGTGCGTCTTTACCATGAAAATGAAGGCTTCAAGCCCCAGAGTGAGTTCTGTTAACTCAGAAGGGATCAAGGGTCTCAAAACACCTTCTTTCCCCACTAGCAACTGAGAACCATCTTCCATCAGGCCAGTAAAGGCAGATGGCAACTCAACCCTGAACAGAGTCATCACCAGCCTTAAAGCGGTGACATCTGAATTAACGAGCGAAGGGGAAGGACAATGAGAAGGGCACGTGTTGTTAGGGCCAGCGTGACAATCTCTGTACAGTGGGCAGCAGGCTGGCACCGGGCGTCAGCCAGGCCGCACTGCGTTTCCATGGAGAAGGCGTCCTGGCTTGCTTCCACCCTCCGCAGGGTCCCACACCTCTCCTGCCTTCTGTGCAGGAGAAAGGGTTGGGGCGTTTCCCAAGGCTCCTGGAGGTCCCCGAGGCTTGCAGGCGGATCCCCACATCTGCACGGAGGACACGGAGCCCCCAGAACCAGCAGGGTGTCTGCCCATGACATCCCACAGACAGTGCCTGGGAGCCAGCGACACCTTAACTTGATATCCAGACACACCACTCAGGTGCGTGCCCCACACTTGAAACTTCCCAGGCGACGTCATTCAGCAGGGGCTGTCGTGCGGAAGCTGACTCCATGTCGCAGCACGCAGGCATGACACGCTTGCCATTTGCTCTTGGAAGCGCTCCTTGGGGGTCCAGGACACTGCTTTATGCATAATGCCAACAGGTGTGACTCACTGGGCTTCTGGTCCACAGGCGACTAGGGACAGCAAAGCTGAAGCCTCGGGGTCTCTGACAGCTGTAACTTTTTTTTTTTTTTTAAGATTTATTTATGCATACAGAACTGGGATACAGGCCAGAGATGCAGGGGTGGTGAGAGGCTTCACCAGAGACAGAGTGGGGAGCAGACAGGCAGGTCGATGAAGTACACTGCTGAGCGGAGCAGAGGGTGGGTCAGGAGAGGTCTGCCACGCCATGTGGGTCACCTCGGGGGCCGGGGGTCGAACTCGCACTGAAGCAGCTGCAGCCAGCTTGCAGTGCTGCTACCAGGGAGGGCCCCATCTATAACTTCTTATATCTATATCATCTTATAGATGATAAGAATATGTGTAAAAGATGAGCAACTGGAGAGGAAATCGTTTGCAAAAAGCAGACATACTGATGGCCTAGGAGCATTTCCGACAGACCTGTCTTGATGAAACCCCTAAGGGCGGAATCAAGATATTTCTACTAAACCTATATGAACAAGAGCAAGAAAGACCCATTATGTCAAGCAGAACCTCTTTGAGAAGGTAGAGAAATACTAACTGTCTGTTAGGAACAGATCAATTAAATTACTTCAGATTAACGTGTATGGCGGATGTGCCGGGGACCCGGGACATTATAAGCGTCTGTCCTGCGGGCACAGTTATCACACGACTCACATTCATGAGACCCTGCACTCCCCCATCCTACACCGCACAGATATATATTCACACATAGTGCAGTATCAACACGGTACCAACGGGTACTCGAAACCATGATGTCATTCCCCAAACTGCAGAAAAAGCCCAGCATACATACACGGGTTTGCCAACTCTCCCTCCACCTTGATTCTGCCCTTCGGGGTTTCCCTCCACCTGGATATCACACACTCACAGCGCACACCCCCCCCCCCCAAGAGCTCACCAAAACCCACATCCACACGGCAGCCCTCACCTGTATGTGTACACACTCCATATGAAACGCAATCATCCCTCGAGCCACACGTGCGATGCACAGAATACATGTCCCCACAACTGTTTCCCAGGGTGGACACTGCGCATGCCCCAGGCCACCAGACACACCTAGATGCTGCGCCTTCTCGTTCCCGCGCTCTGGAGTCTGCACACTCCAGGTGAGTCCACGCCACGCCCACTCGTCCCTGACCAGACTCATCCCTGCCTGCTACGCGCTGACTCTTCCTCCCGTGCCTGCTGCCCCGACGGGGGGGACTGTGCCCTGCACTCCTGTGCACGCAGGTCTCGGGCCCAGACCCCACCCGTGGTGCACGCGCCCCGCCCCAGGACACTCCTTGCTGGGCCTGTGGAGCTGTGACTCTGGGAGTCTGGCCAAGGGCAGCAGAGACAGTCCGCTAAGGCTGAGGTCTGGCCCTGCCAAAGCCATTTTTTAAATAGTTGGGGTTTTGGCAAAAGCAAGTCGAACCTTTACTGTCAGCACGCAGACCTTGAAAGGTAAGCCTGTGTGTGGCGAGGGGGAAATCTGAGAGGCCAGGGTGCGCTTGGTTTCCATGGAACCCTTGGCCGGGAGCTGCAGCGGGCGGGTGGAGAGTGCCAGGAGCTGGGGCAGGGATACAGGCTAAAACAATGTTGTAGGCGCTGACCCTCGGATCAGGAAGTCGCCTTTTGCCCAGAGCTTGTGGAATTTGATATTTGGAAAGTTCAAGTTCATCTGCAGCTAAGCTACAGGGAGGAGGTCCGACAGAGGCCTCCCGGGAGCCAAGCCGGTTCTGCTGCCCCTAGCGCAGGCAGGGCCCTCGGCCCGTCCCTTCCCTTGCCCGGGTGAGACAGTCTCTCTCTGAAGTACCCACGGGGCTTTCCTTGGCTACCATCCAAATGTCCAGAGTGGCCTGTCAAGAAGGCTGTTGGAGAATTTACTTAAATCCCCTTTACTGGGGCCTCCCTGGTGTACAAAGGGTTAAGTCTCAGTGCTATGAAGCTGTTGGCAGCCACTGCAGCAGGAAAGCAACTCCTGGCCAGGGAGCTGACCCCCATGGCGCAGCTGACCTCTCCTGTCTCACCCCCTGGTTCCCTCAGCAGTGTGTTTCAGTCCATCTGCCTGTTCTGTCCCCCACTGTTTCTGGTGAATCTTCTCATTTCTGACACATCTCGCCTGCATGGACCCCAGCTCTTCTATGCATAAATGATAAAATAAATGCATAGATAAATGCATTAATAATAAACAACTATTTGTGCACAATAAATAAATGCATAAATAAAATAAATCTTTAAAAAATAAAAATAAAATCAATCCCCTTTGTTATAGCCTAAACCCCTCTGACTTATGAAAATATTCGTATTTAAAAGTTAGGAAAGATGGGCTCTCCCTGGTGGTGCAATGGGTTAAACCACTGCATTATGAAGCTGTCTGCAGCCACTGCAGCACGAGTTCGATCCCCACCCAGGGAGCTGACCTACATGGTGCAGCAGACCTCTCCTGACCTGCCCGCTGCTCCCCTCAGCAGTGTATTTCAGTCAATCTGCCTGTTCTGCTCCCCACTCTGTCTCTGGTGAATCCTCTCACCCTCCGCACCTCTGTCCTGTACCCCAGTGCTGTAAGCATAAATAAAATAAATAAATCTTAAAAAAAAAAAAAGAAGTCAGGAAAACCACATGCAGCCCCTATTTCTACTTCAGCTATCGCTGTTTCAACTAATGCTCGGCCTTCAAGATGCGACCGCTGCCCCGGGTCAGCAGCCAGCTGGTGTGGGCTCTTCCCAGTGCCAGGCGTGACATGGGTCTGTGGGCACGCTGTCCCTACCCTCTGTCCTCTCTCCACCACAGGGGTATTTTGATTTTGATTTTCCAGATGAGGAAACAGAGCTTCAGGGAGCCAGAACTGGAGCTGTCCCAGGTCACCAACACCAGCGGTCACCCCTCCCACTCTGGGGGCTCCCCTCACTGCTCCCCACCCGACCTGTGGTTGCCCAAGCCCCGGTCTCGGCCAACGTGGCATCCGCCAGGCATCTCTCTGAGGCATCCCCTCGCTGGGGCTGCAGAGCCCTGTTCTCATGGCCTCAGCCCCCCTCCGGCCTGAGGCGGAATAAATATCTGGTGCCCAGGCCTCGTGAGGAGCCCGGTCTTTTCCACACCCCGAGCCCTGCCGTCACCGCCTCACTTTCATTCCTCCCGTTTTGTGCTCCCTGACTCGGGGATGGCATCCCAGGTGGAGTGAGCTAACCCTGCTAGCCTGTGTCCACTCGGGACCCGCCAGCTGCTCTGCTGTGAAGCCAGGTCCTCACGCTCATCCTTTTCTGCCTCTTAGCAGAAGCATGGGCTCGGGTCAGTGGCCAAGGCGGTGACTGTCCCTCCGCTCCTGGCACCACGGCATCCCCCTTTGTCCCTCTCCCCGTGCAGCACGAGCAGCTGCCCCGGGACGCCTGTCCTCTCTACAACTGGCCAAGACGTGATCTCTTCCTCTGCCTCGCTTACGCCTTCTTTCTGGGGCTTCCCCCGACCTGCCTGGGGAACGCCTCCCTGCCCTCCACAGCGCCGCGGGCCACGCCTCCCTGAAGCACCGGGAGGCCATCGTGGCTCTGAGCCTCTGGGTGCTCCTGGCTCTGGCCCGTGTGCACCCTCCTTCCCGCCACCTAGCGTGGTGCCAGGTGCTCAGCCCTCCTGACCTGGAGGGACACTCCCCTGGCCCTGTGCTGTCCTGGGCCCTGGGCGCGGGGCCTCCTCCCCTACACCTGCTCACTGCTCTCCCTGGCAGAGTGAGGCCCAGCCCCTCTCACCAGACAGCATGCGGCCCCGGCGGGAGGCCTCGGTCGCCAAGGCACAGGAGATTTCAATCCGCTTCTCCTGCTCCTGCAGCTGGCTCTCTGAGTCCTGGGGCACGTCCACAAGGTCCCCCTCGCCGATGGGCACCACGTTCTGCATGCTGAAGAGGCACAGACACACGACATGGGGGAGGGGACAGGATGGCCCAGTTGACCTGAGGGGGCCTGTGGTGGGTGGGAGGCCTGGGGCCTGTGAGTGGGCAGGCTCTGGTTCCCTGCAAGGCTGTCCCCAGGGGTGAGGGGGACCCTGGCAAAACACGAGTTGGGACCCCTACCCGTGATGCTTTAAAATCCATAAAAAGTCTCAAGAGAACTTTCAGGGCAGCCTTGAAGGGGAAAGCAGTCACCAGCGGGGGACCCGGCTGTCTGTCTCCACGATGGATCCTTTGTCCCCGCCGGCTCGTGACTGGCCCTGCCCTGGGCTGGCCCGGCCCGCCGCCTTAGCCGCAGCCTCCACTCGCTCTCCACTGGGGAGGTTCGGGGCCCCAGCGACCTGGGTGTCCTGGGTGCCAGGGTGGCGGATCCCCCTGGCCTGTTACCTGGACTTGGCGATGAGGGTCTTGATCCTCTCCACCTTCTTCTGCTTCTCTTTCAACTCCTCGGGGCTCAGGGGGGCATCGGGTTCCAAGTCAATGTAGCGCTCGGGAATGAGGACTTTGTCTGGGGTGGAGAGCTGTGGGGGGACCGAGGTCACCGCCTCTGGGCCCTCCCGGCTCCCCGCCCGCTGCCCTGCCCGGCTCGGCTTACCTCCTTGTTGATGTCCACATCATAGTGCTGAGGCTCCAGCTCCATCTTGCGAAGCCGGGCGATTTCCTCCCGAGGGCTCTCGTAGGCCTGCCCGCCCGGCTCCTCTGCCCGCAGGGCCGCCTCCAGGTTGGAGATGTCCACCTCGTGGATACTGCGGTGACGGCGCACCTGGGGGCCACGCTGTGGGTGAGCAGCTCTCCAGGGTGCCCCGGCCCTCCTGTGGGCAAGCCACGCCCCCTGCTTGTCTCCCCTCACCGCGCGCCCCACTGTCCTGTGCTGTGTCCAAAGCGAGACCCCCAGAAGGGGCCAGAGGTAAAGTTCTCTCTCTCATGGGTCCGCAACTCCCCATCCTGCCAGAGCCTGGATTCACTTCTGTGTCTGTTATGTGGAGCTGCTGAATCAGTACATTGATTTCTGATGGGGACATTTTCTAAACATTCCAACCCACCCTCAAACTGTTTGAGGGCAGGATTCATGGATACTCATTTTTCTGCATTTCTGAAATTTAGTGGAGAGAAAAATAAGGTGCCAGGACATCACTCACTAGCTGTGCAGTCCTGGAACCCCCTAATTCTTTGTAACTTTGTCCTCCTGTCTCGAAAATAGGGATAAGGGACCCTCCCTGGTGACTCAGTGGGTTAAAGCGCAGCACTGCAAAGCTAGCTGCAGCCACTTTAATGTGAGTTCTGTCCTGGCCAGGGAGCTGACCCACATGGCGCGGCAGACCTCTCCTGACCCACCCGCTGCTCCCCTCAGCAGTGTACTGAGGCCTGTTCTGCTCCCCACTCTGTCTCTGGTGAATCCTCTCACAGCCCCTGCACCTCTGGCCTGTACCCCAGTTCTATATGCATAAATAAATCTTAAAAAAATATAATTTCCATCTTAAAAAAAAAAAGGGATAAGAATGTTGACCTCAGCATTGCTGAGAGGATTAGGTGAGATTACAATCTCCACAAGGACAGGGCCTGTGACCTGCACTGTGCCAGCCATGAAGCTGCTATGTGATCTTTGCTGCACCCAGGTGGATGCCAAACACACAGAAAGTTCTAGAAGCCTATTGACTTGCAGGGCTTTTCTGGGTAGTTTTGTACTGTCCTGTATTTGCTGAATTGTGATCATATATTTCATCCAAAATAATTAAGGCATTCCTTTTTGGTGAGTTTTTCTTGAAACACAAAAAAGAAAAGACTTGTCACAGTACCTCCCTTCCTGATGGGGGTGCCCAGTTCCCCTAGGTGCCAGCTTGGATCCTTCCCAGACCCTCCCTCTCAGACACTTCTTGTCTCCCAAAACCCCCAATACTGGCCATGCTGGCAGAGGCTGGGCCACGATTGTGGGGGGACTTTACCACTTTGTAGGTGGGCCGGGGGCTCGGGTCAGGGGCCGGGCTGGCTGGGAGCTGCAGGCTCCTTCGCTTCTCCTTAATGGACCCGCTCTGGTGCCGTCGCATACGGTCAATCTGCTCCTCCACACTCATCTTGACCTTGCCCTCGCCGGGGAACACGGCACTCTTGGGGCGCTCTTGCTGCGGGGGCAGAATGGGACTCTGGCCATTGGCTCATCCTCCACCCAGCATTTTCCTCTGTTACTTTAAAATTCCCCGCAGGGCCCTCCCTGGTGGCGCAGCAGGTTAAAGCACTGAGAAGCTAAAGCCACTTCAGCATGAGTTCGATCCCCGCCTGCCCCGGAGGAGACCACATGGCACCATAGACCCCTCCTGGCCCGCCCGCTGCTCCCCTCAGCAGTGTGCTTTGTCCATCTGCCTATTCTGCTCCCCACTCTGTCTCTGGTGAATCCTCTCACTGCCCCTGCACCTCTGGCCTGTACCCCAGTTCTGTATGCATAAATAAATAAATCTTAAAAAAAATTCCCCTGCAAAAGTTTGTCCAAATCCTAATCCCCAGGACCTGTGAATGTGACCTTATTTGCAAACAGGGTCTTTGCAGATGTAAATAAATCAAGGATCTCAAACAGAGATCATCTGGAATTAGGGTGGACCCTAAATCTAATAGGGGCCAGCCCTAAAAGAGACAGAAAAAAAACAAGACACCCAGAGGAGAGGGTGACGCACAGAGAGGCAGACCCGAGTGATGTGTCTACAAGCCAAAGACGGTCAGAGGGAAGTTGGGAGAGAGCGTGGAGAGGGTGGCCCCTCGGAGGCTTCTGGAGCCAAGCAAGCTGGCATCTTGGCTTTGAACTTCTGGCCTCCAAGCTGTGAGCAAATAAACTTCTGCTGCTTCAAGTTCCCAAGTTCATGGCATGTGTTAATTTTCAAGCTGCCCTAGGAGTTGAATGCACATCTGAGACTGGTCTTGCTGCATTGACATCTCAATGAGGGAGCACGAGAGGGTAATTTTGTTAAATGTTCTCTATCTCCATCCTGCACAGCTCCTGTCTCCCCAGGGCCGCCCTCCGGTCCTCCTCCCGCGTGGGTGAGCAGAGGGTCCCAGCTCAGGCGCTGCAGGGAGTACTCACCCGGGAGGACAGCCCGTTGGGGAGCCCGTTGGTGGTCCTCCTCAGCACCCTGGAGGAGCCCACGTCTTCGTCAGTGGGCGACTTGGTCCGAGGGGGCACGATGCCAACTGCAGAGAGACAGAGCAGCCATGGGCTCATGCCCACAGGGAAGGCGGGGAGAGGGGCTGCTTCCCTCAGAGGCTCAGCCCTCTTCTGCAGAGCTGGACACGCGGGCTGGGGACACACTCTATGGGGGTGGAGGAGAAACCTCTGGACAATCCTGATCCAGAGTCTCCCAAGACCAGGAAGAGACAGAAAGTACCTTTGTTGAGTGCAGCCTGCTTCTCCGGCTCCACCTCTTGCCTGCTGGGCATGAGGCTGATGTCTCTTGAGGTGTCCAGGGGTGAGGCCTGGTGGGAGTCTTTCTTGCTTTGCTGGGGAGGAAGGGTGAGAAGATGGCTGTTGCTAGAGTGGCCATGGGGAGTTTGGCCCCTGGTGATATTTCTTTGGTTTGCACTGGTCAAAGCGCAAACCCTTCAAAATATTGGATGGGAAACTGTGCCAGGTGGCAGTGGAGGTCAAGGGGGTGTGGGAGCCTCTCACTGCACCCCCTTCAGGTTGGCCAAATCTGGCCATCTTGGGGAGTGAGGGCTCGGGCGTCCAGGCAGCCCTCAGTTGAGGCCCATCCTCTTGGTAGCAGAGGCCTGGTGGGAGCGAGGTAAGGAATGACCAGAGGAGAGGGGGGCTCCGTGGACAGTGGTCTCTGGGGATTCTGCTGGGAGACTTGAGCAAAAGAACCAGGATTCTGGAGTGGGAAGGAAAAGGCACTTAGCTTGAGAGCTCAAACATCATGAGACCAGAAGGGACCTCAGATGCCACCTGCGCCCCACCCTGTCACCCCATCCAGTTGCAAACCCTAGGTCTCAGTGAGGGCAACACAAGAAGAAAGAAGACGGGGCTGGGAGTTAGAAACCTCAGCGGCAGCCCAGCCGCAGGGCATGGCAACTTCCAGCTCTTCCTTGCACGCTGGAGGGAACAGTGCCTGCCCCGCCCGCCCCCCCAGCACACCATCAGGGGTCACGCAAATGACCAGTAGCTGAGTCTAGATGAGAACATGGGTTTCCCAGTTTTAGGCACAGGCCTCTACTTACCACGCACCTCTAACTACCCCTCTCCTGGGCCTGGGTTAAGGGTCCAGGCAAGAGGAGAATCCAGAAAGGGGAGAAAGGGCCTAAATCCCTCCAGGGATAGGAGAAACCCAAAGAAGACTCTGGCCAGGCAGAGACAGAGAGCGCTTGGAGGACTGGGGTGCGAGGTGGACAGGAGCAGGCAGGCGTTGGGGGATCACCTGGGAAACAGGTGATCTCCCATGTCTGGTCAAGCTGGGAGGGGGTGGGGCACAACCTACCACCCACATGGGCCGCCCACTAGCCTGTGCGTGGAGGGGGCATTTCCCCATGTCCACGCAGGCAGAAGGACAGAGGGCCCGGGTGGGCGTCTGAAGCGCCCTTTACTTATCTCAGAGCCCAGGGAGGCGGAGGGCTCCGAGACACTGAACTGTGAGAAAACTGATAGCGGAATGGAAGGTGACTCAGTGTCGTGCCTGGCACCCTAGCCTGGCCCTCGGCCCCCTCCCTCCAGCCCTGCCCTCCAGGGCCCGAGGGTGCTGGGTACCTGACCCCTGGCTGTCTCGCCACTGTGGTGCCAGGAAGGGGAGTTGGGGTATGGCCAGAAGCGGCTCTCGCTAGGGAGTGGAGGCACGGTTGGAGGAGACTCCAGGGGGACGTAGGCTTTGGGAAGGGGAGGCCTCGGTGGGCCAGCTTCCTGAGGCAGAGAGAAGCCAGAGCACATTAGGAAGAACAAGAGCAGCCGCTGTGAGAGCAGGAGAAAAGAGTGTTAGCAGGAGGCAGACGACGGCATCGCTGGGACCCTGGCGCCCACCCTCGACCCGCCAACTCCAGAGCTGACCGCTTGCCTGGCCCCGCCACTGGGCCCCCCGTGCCGCTCCCCACACGCCCCACTCTCCTCCAAGCTCTCCTTACCGCATCATCGCCACCCAGGCACATTCCCGCCCACGCACTGTCACGTCTTCTGGCCCCATCTACACCGCGGCCCTGGACGCCCCCAGTGTGTGAGGCCCAGGGTGGGTTTCCTGGGCCAGTTTTAGACCTTCAGGGCAGTCAGGGTCTGAGCCACTGCCCCAGCATTGAGACACGTGCTTTCCAGAGGCCATTCTCCTCCTCAGACTCGGCCCGGCTCCCAGGCACACTGAGCGTGGGATTCTGGGGGAGCTCGGGCCTCCTCCTGAGAGCCTCACGCCACCCACGCCCCAGAGGAGCCTCAGCAAGCTCTGTGCTGACTGGCTAGGGACCTGCTCCTCGCCCCAACCCTCTGCCCTTTCATCCGGAACAATCCTGGGCTCAAATTCCGGGGAGCTAGTGTCTATGCTGACCACCCTGATTTGGGAGAAGACATCCCTGGAAGGCAGACAGAGATACAGGCTGGGATGAGAGCAGAGAAAGGAGGCCTCTGGGGGAAGGCACCGCCCTGGGTGTGTCAGCAACCATGAGACAGCCACGCCCGGCCTGGGGCTCTGGGAAGCGACGGGAACAGAGACTGGAACAGAATATGTGCAGTATCGGGCGCACGGAGACCAGCCTCCTTCCCACACCTACCTCCTCCTCCATTTTGTCGCTTACCTCATTGGAGCCAGGCTTGGTGGGAGAACCCTGGGAGCCAGACACTAGTGAGAAGGGGCTCAGGGGGCTGGTGAGGCTGGTGGAGCTGAGGGGGCTGGCGGGGCTGTTGGAGCTGTAGCTGGCTGAGGGGCCAAGTCCTCCTGGGGGCAGAGAGGACAGAGGTGAGGGCAGATCGGGGGGGCCTGGCGTGGGGGTGATGCTGTGGGTGGAGGTGGCAGGGGAGAGTGTGGGAGGGTTTAGTGTCTTGGGAACACTTGGGCCTGCGTGTGAAAGGGACTGGGCCGTAGGCCGGCTATTGAGGGGCAAGCTGGGCCTGCCAAGAGGCCAGGCAGAAATGGCACAGTCCCCCCAGGTGTTAAATACCAAAGCCAGCCCAGGGCCCCAGGGCTGGAGGAAGATGTAAGATCACTAAGGGGTGCAGGAGGCACAGAGCCTCGGGGGCTGGGGGAGGATAGATTCTAGCCTGTGCGGTCACCAGCACCTAAGTGGTATATCTGGTCTGTTCTGGAAGGAACGGGGATCCTCTCTACCATCACAGACCTCAGGAAGGTTCTGGTGTTCTACAAGGTCTTGACTGGCTCTGAGCTGGTGTGGGATGGAGGCCAGAGACACCAGAGCATTTCTGGTGAGGCAGAGCCCAGGAGGCTGACAGGGAGGCGCCTACCTCTGTGCTTTGCCGTGTCTGTGCCCCGGGATGGGTTATTCTTCCTCAGCCCCTCCATCACATCCTGGATCCTCCAGATTTCCTTCTGGATTTGCCGGTTGAGCGCCTCATTCTGCAACAGCCACAGCACAGGTCAGAGGATGTGGCCGCCGAGGGGTGCCCAGCCTCCTCCCTGTGCCCTTTGGATCAGCAGTAGGAACAGCCTTGTGTGTATGTGTGGGTACACACCCCCACACACCCCTCCAGCACCACCTGTCCATGGGCTGCCTCTGGGGCCCCCAGAGGAGAGCAGGGTGGTCCTGGAGCCAATGTCCCTCGAGGGGGACTTCATGAAGCCTGTTTCCGGGAGTGAGAGCATCCAGTTTACCCACTTTCTTCATCTCCAGCCGACCTCTCTGTGCTGCCCACCGCCCCACACCCCCCGACACGCCTAAATATGCACAGGTGACATTCAGTTACAGCATCTGCTCTTTACAAACTGAGAGCTGCTGTTTATTTACACCCACTCATACTGGGCTAAGTGCTTTGCATACACTCACTCCTTCCGGCTACACGACTCAAGAGACAGGACAACAGCTACACCCGCTTCCAAGCTGAGGCCACTGGGCCCCAAGACCTCTGCTACTAAGTAGGCGACACTGTTGTAAAGGGGGCCTGTGCCTCTCCAAGCCCAGCACTCCGGAGCAGGACAGGCGTGGGCCTGCTTCCTGAGGGGCTGGAGCCCAAACCGTGGCATCCGGGTCCTCTGAACACAGGGCCTTCGCCTCACCTACCTGGCCAGCTGCTAGGCAGGGGAGCTACGTTCTGTCACTCGGGAAGACATTGGGGAAAGCAGGTGTTAATTTTGTCAGAAAGACACGGCTTGCAGAGCTGGCTACAGGGGAGACAGCTGGCAGAGCAAAGACAAAGCGGGGTGAACACAAGCCTCCCACATTCGTGTCCAGCCTCCTGCTTCCGGGTGGAGCTTTCTAGCTCATCCCAGAACGGAAAGCTGTGCTGGCTCAAAATTCTCCAGGGCTCCTGCACTGCCCACTCTTCTGATGTCAGGAGACTGATTTTTTTTTTTTATATATATCATGAATTTTAATGTTTTGTCTTTAAAATTACAAAGTGTTTACTTAATTTTTTTTCTTTTTCTCATTTTTTTTATTACAAAAGTTTATTTTTACATCGTTTTGTACATTCTTTTTTTTTTACATCTCGATTGTAATCCCCGGAGAGACTGATTTTTATTTATACATCTGCGAAGTCCTTTGTGCTGTAAAACACCTCAGGGCTGACCTAAGCCTGTGCATCGACCTTTGCTCCTTCCCCATGACCGGAGGGAGAGAAGACCCCACATTTCCCTCACCCTGAAGCCCAGAATCTGCTTCAGAGGCCTGACCCTGACTTGGTTGCAGGGTCTCTGAACTCTTTAAAGCAAGAAAGGAAGCTCCTCTGATCCCTGGCCTGAAAGGTTGAGCGGAAGCTACAGGAGCCCTCGCAGGTCTGAACCCCCTCTTCTGTCCAGGGACCCCCTTCACCTGATTGTCCAAATTGAGCTGTTCCCAGAGTTCATCGTGCAGGGCAGAGACCTCGGCTTCCAGGTTCTCATACTCGGTGGTGCTGTTGGCCAGGGCCTGCAGTGGGGGGACACAGAGAGACTTGTACCCCACATTCCTCGTCGTCTTTGCTCCTGGCCCTGGGGCCAGGGTTCCTGAGGCCTGGGGGGGGGGTGTCTAAGAAGGGCGGAGGGCACAAAGACACATTGAGAGGACCTCAAACATGGGTCTTTCAAGAGGCACAACAGCCAGTCCTGCCCAAAACAGCCGTGTCCGGGTGTGGAGACAGGCCCAGAGGGACCACGTCAGCCTCCTCCACACTTGCTCTCCCCAGTGCCAGAGAGCAGAGGGCAAAAGGAAAAGAGCCAGAGGGGAGGTGCTTGCTCTCTGGAGGCTGGAGCACATTTCCTATGGCTTCTGGTGTTCCTCCCGGGGCCGCCAGGCTGGAGCCTGCCCCAGGGGTGGCCCTGTGCCCGGTGGAAAGTCACCAGGGTAGTGGCGTTTGTGTCCTGGTTCCCCAGGGAAGAGGACAGAGGAGGGCAGCACAGCTGGGCAGCCGAGGAGATATGTAGCCCTGGATCTCCGTGGCCCAGCCCTGAGGGGGCCGCGGGAAGCAAGCCAGCAGCCTGGGTGGGGCGCGGCCGGTTTGCAAGGCCGCGTGAGTTCCGGGCTGTTCAGGCCTCTCGTGAGGAGGGCCCCTACTCCCGCCAGCAGAGGGGAATGTGGATCGGCAAACACAGCCAGGGTGCTCTCCTGCCACCGCGCTGGGGTGCGTTACCGTGGTCGCCTGCGACAGCTCCACACGGATGTCGATGAGCTGGTTCTGCAGAGACTCCTTCTTGTGCAGCAGCTTCTCGGGGTAGGCGGGCTGGCTCCCGAACATCTCCAGCTCCTGGTGGGTCCCCATCAAGGCGCTCTCCAGGCTCTCCTGACAGGCAGGGAGATGGCTGTGAGCAGTCCTCTAGGGGGTCCCGGGCCTGACCCCTAGGGGGCCGAGCAGGCCGGAGGGGAGGCTGCCTCCACCGTGGCCGAGGTCTCAGGACAGCCTCAGGGGTCTGGCCAAGCGCAGGTGGGAGCTTTGGAGAGACAACCAGCCACATCTTCTCCATGGGGTGGGGGGTGTTCCCGGCCCCACACAGACCACCCTGCGGCTCTCACCTTTTCAGCTCGGAGCTGCTGCACTAGCCGGTCCTGCTCCCTCACCACCTTGTTCTGCTCACACAATTTGCCCAGCAGCTTCTGGGTTCCCGAGAGAGTGGGGGAAGGGAAGGAGAGAAAAGGGGGTGAAGGACATGGTTTGATGGGGATCTGAGCATTGTGGGGGCAGGGCCTGGCCCCTGGGTACCACCTCCTTTCCCCTGCCTAGGGACCTTGGGCCTTCACCTTGACCCTGGAGGCACGCAGGGACACAAAGATGGGACTTCACCCCAAGGACCCACTGGAGGGGAGATGTATTTATTCTCTGAGGAAGTGAGTTGAGGGGGGAGGGCTGAACGCCGGGTGCTAAGCTCCTACACTCACTCCCACCCTCCTGGGGGGTCCCAGTTTACAACCAGGTGAGGGGATAAAGTGGCCTCCCCTCCCACACAGGTGGGTATGGAGAGGAGGGGAGCAGAGGGTCTCAACCGGCAGCCTTGGGAAGGCCAGTGGACAATCGGTTCCCCTGCTCCCGTGGGCCGTGGTTCCTTCCTCCCTCCAGGCTCTCAGGACGGCTGATGTCGGGGTCCCTCTAAGGTTGGGTCCCTGCCTGCATGGAGCCTCCCCCGGGGCCAAGGGTCCACCACCCAGGCAAGGCCAGTGGTGTGGGAGGAGGCCGATGAAGCCCACCTTCTCTTCTGGACAGAGAGTGCTTTTCTGCGTCCATACCCTATCCGCGGCACCCCCCAAGGACAGCCTGGGCACCTTCCTTCCAAGCCAAACCTTGCTCTCTGGAGCTTTTCCATCAAGGCCCAGCCTGCCTGCTCCCTGCTTCGTCCCTGACCCCAGCCCACATGCCCTGAGCCCCTGCACAAGCGGTTCTAGTTCCTTTTAGTAAAAAAATGGAATCAGCCACCTGCTGGAACCCCCCTGCCCGGGCCCCGGAACCCCCTCCCCCGAGGCTCCCTGAGAGCCGGTCGGGCCCTGTCCTTCCTGGCAGACGCCTAGGGACTAAGGTCATGCTGGCAGAACAGGCTGACTGATTTACCTCCTAACCAAGTCTGCGTTCCTGCAATAGGAAGACCCACTGCAGCAGACAAGGCGGCCTGGAGCTCAGTGGAGACACACACAGCCAGCAAGGGGTGGGGTGAGTGAGAGGCAAGAATGAGAAAAGAAGGGGGTGCGGAGGAGGCAGGCAGAATGCTGTCTTTAGGCGAGAGAGGACATGAGTCAAACGCATGAAGAGCCACCAGAAGGAGCGAGATGGATGGAGGAGAGCGCCCTGCAGGGGCGGGGTGCTGCGGACGGCAGGGGGCTGGAGGGACAGGGAGCAGGAGAGCTGCTCTTACATCTGTGTCTTGCTCGTTTAACTTGTAGGTGTGGAGGCTGTCCCGGAACACTTCTGGGTACGGAGGGACCTGCGGGAACACGAGGCCAGTTACCGCAACAGGGACGCACTGGGGGGGGAGGGGGGGCAGTGATGGCTGCGAATGATGGTTGCTCCGTTCTTGCCCGGGGCCGCGGCCCATCTCTAGCAGCTTCCTTTCTGGGGAGCCGAGCTGAGCTAATTCTCTGTCCCTGAAGGGATGGCCCCATTTAGACTCCAGCCCCACCATCCTTGGCTGATTCTGGAGACAGAGGCCACTCAGCTAGGCTCCCCAGCTTTCTCCTCAAAGTCAGGGGAGCTACTGCCAAGAGGTATTCTATGGTGCCGAGCTCCCAGCGGCTCACTGGAGGGAGCACTGGTGACAGATGGTGAACCACAGAGCTCTTCATGAGGATAAGGTCTGGGGGACTATAGGAGACAGTCCTGCTCATTGGAGGGGTTTGGGAATGATCACCCCAGTACACTGAACAGTCCCGCTTGGGCAGGACCACACGTGTCTCTGGGCCAGCAAACCTCGCCTCAGAGATGCATTGACACCCAGAGCGCGTCCTACACGCCTTCGCCTTGGCTGATCCCCATCACACCCCACATGCCCTCACCCCAGTGACACCTGCTGAGGCACCATCTAGAAACAGAAGACCTAGGCAAAGGCAGGTACGTGATCCCTGGCGTGGCATGAGATGTCGATGCCGGCTTTTCGATGGTTTGGGAAAGGGTCTGGGGGGTCACCATGACAGTGAGAAATGAAGGCTGTCCAGGCTGAGCCTGGGAGATGAGGCTGCACATGAGCCGGCGGGGTGGAGCCCACCCAGGTGGCTGCACTCGACCATGCACAAGCAGCTGAGGTGAAGCTGACGGGGACATGCTGCTAGGCGGAGGTCTTACTTGCATGAAGAGTTGGGCCCTGGGGGAGGAGTTCTCCACCATGCGGTTCACCATACTGATGAGAGTCTCGCTCTCACTCATCTGCAGCAGAGGAAGGAACGCACGATTCAAACGCAGACCCAGTGGAGGGCTCTCTCCCAACCCGCCTGCTCTTGTTTGCCAGAAACACAAGTGGACAGCTCCTCTCGGGGCGTCCAGCACCCACCGTGGGGCCTCCCATGGCTCACCCCTGTAACGCCACCTCAGGTCCGGCACTGGGCGGCCGCCAAGCCCTCGTTGCTCCCCGCTCTGCGGAACCCCGTCGAGACACCGCCCCCCACTCCCCACCCCCACCCCTGGGGCCGGGTGAGCAGGTCTCATCCTTGTTTCCAAAGCGGTCACCTCCCTGCCCCGGCTCTGATTTCTCACACCGCTTTGGTCAAAGACTGATAGCAAGGCTGAGCTCCCAAAATTTGAACTAAATAAAACAACTGCAAAATAAAACCTCGGCCCCGTGCCTTGGACGGACAAGTTCGTAGGTCTCTCCCCGGCCCTGACCGTCTCCTGCTCTAGAGTAGGAAGGATTGCTAGACACGGTTTCCAGAGCTGGGCTGGATGTATCCATGCTGGTCTCGGATGAGGCGAAGGTGCAAATAAGGAAGGAGGCCAAGACAAGCGAGCACAGTTAAAGGGACACCAGGCGTGGGAACGCCGCTCTCCCATGTGTTAGCTTTGTTTCCGGGGTCACTGAGCGCGTGGAGGGGAGGCTTCTTGCCAGTGAAGTAGGGAGGGGGGCGGGGGCGGAAGGGAGGCCAAATCAACTACAATGCCATCATCTCCCCGCTGGGTCGAGTGTGACGCCTCAGAAAGTGAACGCATCAGGACTGGCCTCAGCTTTGTCCCTTTAACGCAGTTGGTCTGCGGGAGAAGGCAGGAGACAGAGGAGGTGTTTGGGGAGGGGCAGTGAATGAGGGAAAGGACAGAGCCATCTTAGGGCAGATCTCTTGGGGGGTCACAGTTCAGCTCCCCAATTTTCCCCACTGCCATCCCAGTCTTTGTTGGGCCCAGGCTGTGCTTCAGGCAGCAGGCCGCAGCCTCAGGTCTGTGTGCTGGAGTCAGAGTGAGGGGCAACCCCACCCCCCTCGGTCCCCACCCCCAGGGAGCACAGCTCACAGAGGCTCTCCAGGGATCTTGCTCCCTGCCTCTGTAGTCCAACTGGTAGTTTTTTCTATTGAAAAAGTATGATTTCAAAGGCTTTCAGAAGAGCAATGGTAATAGGTGGCTGAATCTTTGTAAAAGAGTTCAAAGTCAAGAGGCCACAGCCTCATTTCTATACGGATCTGAACTCAGGGTCCCTATGTTCTGGGAGTGTGCGTGTGTGTGCGTGTGAAGTCAGACTACCTCATCCAGTTTGGAGACCCTGGGGAGGCCCTGGCTCCCCCTGGATGCCCACTGATCTCATTTCTTCCCCAGCAGTGAGTTTTGGGGACCAAAGGCAGGAGGCAGAATGTTCCCCCTGCGCCGTCCCCCCTACCCCCACGTTGTGGGAGCTTTGGGCTGTATCAGCCCACAGAGGCCTTGCTTCTTAACAGGGTTCCTAGCTCTTACCTCTTTCTCTCCAAAGTGGAAGAGAAATGCTGAGGAAGCACCCAGCCCAGGGCCTGGTGGGTGCCGATCGGTATTTTAAATTGAGTGTCCGATCGGTATTTTAAATTGAGTGTCAGAAGAGAAAGAGAAGACACAGTCACTGCAAGCCAACGCCTGACAAGGAGAGTCTCACGACTCTGCGGCAGGTGGGGCCGGTCTCCAGCATCCATTTCAGGACTGAGACAACAAAGAACCAGAGCGACTGAGTGACATTTCCACGGGAAAAAGCCTCGTGGGCAGCAGCGAAGGTGGACTCTCCTCAGTGGTAAAAGACTGCCTGTTAAGAGCATTGTTCTGGGCCTCCTGGTGGCCTAGGGGCTAAGTCTCAGCACCATCACCACTTCCTGAGTTTGATCCCCACCCAGGGAGCTAATCATATGGCACAGCAGAGCTCTCTTGCCTCACCCACTGCTCCCCCTCAGCAGTGTGTTTCAGTAGATCTGCCTGTTCTGTTCCCCACTCTGTCTCTGGGGAATCCTCTTACCCCACTGCAAAACTCTGGCCTATACCCCAGTTCTTCCATGTTAAACAACAACAACAACAACAACAAAACAACATTGTCTTGGATCTTGGAGGAGAAAAGTCATTTCTGTCGCTGCCAGTCCGAGCGCCCTATCCCTCTATGAGCGTAGAAGTGTACACACGGCCTGCTGCCTACCTGGAGGCTTTGTGGAGGGGCCACAGGGAGGGAAGCCTGCCCGGGAGCCCCCAGGACACTGGGGGTGCCTCTCACTACCCTGGCACAGCAGACCCTGTTCCCACCATGGCCATCCAGGGCTCCCGCGTCCTGCTTTAGGACTCGGCCCCACCTGGACTGGCAAGTTCATGGTGTGGACAACATGTGCTGTTTCTGGAACTAGCATGGAATGTCCTTGAGGGCACAGCCATCCCTGCCCACTAAAATGCAGGCACAGAGCACCTCCTGGGGCTTACGGCCCCTTACTCCCTGAGATTCGGGCGCTGGGGCATGATGGCGAGTTACTTGTGAGCAGAACTTCCAAGAGGTACAGCTACACCTCCTGATTTCAAGCTTATGGTTCTTCCTGCAACTTTAAGAGCACAGAACCATCCTGGTGAGGTTTGACTTAGCGTCTTCATATATTGGATATTTCTCAGCTATAAACTGGGTCAACTTTCCAGGCTATGCTGTTTACTGGTGTGCGTCCAGGACACATGAGCTAACCCCTCTGAGCTTTAGTGTTACCGTTATAAAAGGGGGGTTAACCGTGCCTGCCTTACAGGGGTGTTATCAAGATTAAATACTCCAGGACCAGTGTTTTCACCAGCCCAGCCCCACCCCAGGATAATACCGTGTGCATCCAGGTCCCCCTGATTTATAGCGTGGATCTGAGTGTCAAGGTGTGTGCTCATATAAATGCCTAGCACGCCGACCCCTGGCTATGAGTTCCACAGCCCTCTTGCCTTAAAAGGCAAGGGAGTGGCCCTCCCTGGTGGCACAGCGGGTTAAAGCACAGCACTGAGAAGCTAAAGCCACTTCCGCATGAGTTCGATTTCCGCCTGCCCCGGAGGTGACCACATGCCGTGGCAGACCTCTCCTGACCCACCCGCTGCTTCACTCAGCAGTGTACTTCGTAGATCTGCCTGTTCTGCTCCCCACTCTGTCTCTGGTGAAGCCTCTCACCGCCCCTGAGCCTCTGGCCTGTACCCCAGTTCGGTATGTACAAATAAATAAATCTTAAAAAAAAAAAAAAAAAGGCAATGGAGCTCCTGGTTAGTGCTCTGGAGTAAGAGGCCCTGGAAACCTCTGGGAGCTGCAGGCCCAGCCTCTGCAGGAGGCTGGGGTCACAGCACCCCTCTGGATACCACCTGGAGCGCTGAGGAACATGTGAGCCATGTCAGCAGCAGAACTTCACAGCAACAGGACTACACTGGATATATTTTATAAAGCATCCGAGGGCCATCCTCAGTTTGCATCAAATCACAACTTGAGGCGGATGATAGGAACATTTCTCTGATTCAGCCTGAATTCAATTCCTAGCATTTTAGACCCAGCAGGATCTCTGCTAGTCTCTCCAGCAAAAATGCAAATTCCTACCTGCCCCCTGAGGGCAGTTCCATCTGGGCTGAACAAACATGAGGTGGCATTAATTATTAATGGGGTCATTTACTATTCTCCTTTCCCCAGGAAACTCCCAGCTGCCCTAAAGGGCTTTGAAGAGAAAGGGTGTGAAAGAGCAAACCAAAATATAAGCCACTTTGTTGTGTCCTGGTTGTGTCAACAAAGGTTGTCAAATGGATGGAAGATGAGGAGGTTGGGAGGAGGAGGGAGACGACAGGAGGGCAGGGGATGGCAGGGGGCACCAGCTCTGCCTACCTGCTGATCCAAATACTCTAGGTTTCTTTGCAACTGAAGGTCTAAAAGTTCATCCTACCCGGAGCCCGAGCCCGAGGCCCACCGCCAACACAAACACACAGGAACATGACAAAAGAAAACAATAAAAAGGAAGCAAAGCAGTTAAGAGTTAGCTGGGCAAGGACAAGGAGCGGCCCTCTCTCTGCCCTTGAGGAGTTCTGGGAAGGGAGGGGACGAGAGCAGGGCTGGACTGGACGGAAGCTGCCTCTGGACGCAGCCAGTACCGGGAGGGGTGCACTCTGGCCCCAACTCCAGCTCCCTAAGTCAGCCTGGCCCTGGGGAGACGTAGGCACTGCTGAAGCCATCGAATGGCTTCAGAACTCCTAGTGGCTGTTGCTGAGTTTTCTGGAAAAATCTCTTGTTTCTGGATGGGTCATTTGTTGTGTGTTGGACCTCTTTGGAGCAGAGTTGGGGGGAAGAGAGCAGCCTCCTCCTCTTCTATGCAGGCCCCCGGGCGCTACAGAGGAGGGCTCCGCAATGGGCTTGGGGACAAGGATTCTGCCTGTTGGGTCCAGAGGTTCTCCCCAACACCCACCCCGACCCCCAACCCAGTGCAGCACTGACATGGAGTTCTCCAGGTAGAAGCAAAAATTCTCTGAACAAATTCCAAAAAGGGACATGGCAGAAAGGGGAGAGAAAAGATGGGGCAGCCTTACCATGGTAAATCCTTGCTTCCCCATCATCCTACTTGTCTCTTTCCCCGAAATTCTCATGCCAGGCAAGGATAAAGGCAGAGCACCCTGGGGGGAGGTCTAGAGACCATGTCTGTTGCTGGGCGCTCTTGCCGACTTTTCTTCCCAGCCACTAAGGGCAGGCCCGTGCGCCCTCTGCATGCTGGAGAGCAAAGCTGTCCTGAGCAAAGGAGGGTCGGGCCATACGTGCTCTCAGAAGAGAAGGGGTAACTGGCACCACATCTGGCGGGGCTAGAGGCCTGGCTGTGAGGGGGGCAGTCACTGGAGGCTGCTCAAAACTGGAGGGGCCCGCGTTGGGCACAGAGCACCCTGGTGTCCCTGGCCCCGGGAAGAGGCAGGTGGGGAGGGCCTGAGGGGGTGGCGAGTGGGAGGCAGGACATACCATCTTATCGTGGACCGTGGGGGATGGTGGGTAGTTGTAGGGGAACAGTCCTGCAGGGACTGGCCGCCTGTCTCCCAGGTAATCATACTGGAAGAGAAAGGGGATTGGAGAGGTGAGGGGGTCCGGCTTGGACATGGACTTCCCCACCGCTGAAGTTCAAGGTCAGGGATGTCTGAATCCAGTCCCAGGGCACATCCCAACTAGAACGGACAGCATTTCTTCACTGCAAAATTCTTGCCATCTTCTGGCCACGTCAAGATTTGCAAAGACACAACCTTTTCTGCCCTCATCTGTAGAAGCAGGGTGCCTGGTGTAACTTGGGGATAAGGTCAGGGCAAAGCAACCCCCAGACAGCTGTTCTATGGAAGAGCCGCCGGCTCCCCTGGGCCCAGGCCCAGCATGGACATCTCCTCAGCAGGTGGTAGCGGGCTTGGGGGGGGCCTCAGGGGAAGAGAGCAGAGGAGCAGGAGGGTGGCTCACCTTGGGGGAGCTGATGGACCGCCTCATCACATAGGCAGCAGGGTCCGCGTAGATGTCCTCGCTGCGGGGCGGCAGCCGCTCGATCCGGGCACTGGGCGAGCGGACGGGGGAGTAAATACGAACTCGGTTGCAGGAGCCCTGGCTGGGCGAGCGGGGCACAGAGTGGGACCGGGGCTGCAGGGACAGGCGGCGCAGGGAGCTGGAGGCGGCATCCAGCTCGTCATAGTACAGGGGCTGCCGGGAGGGACTGGGGACCCAGACGGTGCCATCCTGCCGCCCATAGCCGCTGGGCTCCTTCCACTCCCGCAGCTGGTAGGCGGGGCCGCCCCCGTTCCGGAAGGAGAGGCGCTTGTCCTCCAGGCCCCAGGGAGGGCTGATCCGGTCGTAGGCTGGCATGGAGCAGATGCTTTCTGGCCGCACCCCTGGGGGGTAGTACTGGTAATCGTCGGGATACTGCGAGGAGTAGGGGCCATAATACTCAGGGACCCTTCGGGACACAGAGTAGAACCTAGAGGGGCTGAAAGAAGGCACAGTGAGGAAGCCAGAGGGAAGGGCATGCCCACTTCCCGCGCCCCGGCCGCCTACCACGTCCTCCAGTCTGGAGCAGGGTGCTCAGGTAGACCCCAGGCTTGTTTCCAGCGGTCCGGGAAGACCTGGGCCTGAGTTCCCTCCCTCCAGCAGCTCTTTCTGAGACCCTCCAAACAGGAGGGTCCCTGTTTGGAGCTTCGGACTTTGTGGCTTCAGAATGAAATGCCCCCAGGGAGAGACTTAAGCCTATCAGCCATCTCTACGCAGTGTGAAGCAACTTACGAGATTTCTTTCCAGAGGGGCAAACAGAAGAATAGCATGTGTGGACCAGGCCCTGAAGGAGGCCAATTGAGGGGCCCAGGGGCCACCTCCCTGACTTGCTGATCTCCCGGATCCTTGGGACTCCTCCCTAGTGCTCCAGGGGCCAGGAGGGAGGAGGCTCCCTCCTGCCATCTTCTGGCCATAGCCTAGCATGGCAGGGGGGTGGGGGTGCTCCATGCCAGCCCTCCCCTCCCCAGCTGCCCAGACTCTGGAGGCATAGACTACTAGCAGCCCCAAGACCCTGAAGAAAGTCCCAGGCTAATCAGAGTCTTCAGATAGTTGAAAACCAGTCACTAGACCAAGGGGCTGAGTTGAACAGAAGCTCACGAGGATCTAGGAGCAACATTTTTTTGCTCTTTTTCAAAGAGCTGTTCAGAAATAGAGTGAGTGGGCTTGGTGGTGAGTGTCAGGATGGTAGAATCATGGGGCAGAGGGTGATGAAGAGGGTGCGGGCTCACTTTAAGGCTCCCCTCTCCCTCGCTGCTACCGCCTGCCTATGTCCTGGGCCACCCCCACCCTGTGGACAGGCCCTGGGTGCTTCTGTCCCTTGGTCTGAAGGACAGCAAGAATCGGGTGTAGGGATGGGGGTGTGTGTGCCAACTATAGCTATAGCCTCTGGGCAGACAAGGATCTGGGCAAGCTGGGCTTCCTCGGTGGGATCTCCCAACTCAGTCTGCGCTCTGGAGGTTTCTAACAGGTCTTAATGCTTCCCCAGTCCCACCCTCCAGCCTTAGCCCCTATCCGGACTCACCTGCGAAGGTCTTCGGCTGGGGGCACCCCCCGGCGCAGGTTTACCCACTGCTGAAGCTGGTTCATGGAGCTCTTGCGCTGGGCGATTTTATCGGGATGGGTGCGTGGGGGGAAGCTCTGCCGATGGCCCCCATTCTCCCCATCCTGAGATGGGAAGGCTGTGCTCCCCGGCCGGCTGGGGGAGCTATACTGCCAGCCATTGGGCTGGACAGGCCGCTCCCCACCCCCTGGCACCCTTGGGCCCTCGGGGTAAGGACTGCCGGGCTCTGAGATGGGTTCTGGGCCAGTTTGGACGCCATTCGCTTTCGCCAGAGGCTCAGCCTTGACTTCCGGCCTCTCTGGCCTCCGCTCTGCCTTCTCACAGCCTCGGCCATCGCCCTCCCCTCGAGTCTTGGCCTCGGGCTCAGACTTGGCGAGGCTGTTGTGGGGTGTCTGATGGTGGTGTTTGCTGGGTGGGGTGTTCTCTGAGTCTGGCTTCTCGTGGCTGCAGGGTGTCAGGAGAGACTTGGTAAGTGACCGCAGCCCGGCCCGGGGCGGGGGTGCAGATTAGGAAAGGGAAGGGGTATGGGGAAGGGTGGGCAGGAAGCTGGAGATGGAAGCAGGACTCGGCAAATGACACTTCTCTTGCCTACATCTCGCTGTTTTGTCTCGTTTCCCCTACTGGGGCAGTTACCAGAACACACTCTGAGTTAACTCTGCCCCCCACATCTTCTCTGTGGGTCACTGTCCACTCCCTTCTGCTGACCTGCCGGCACAGTCTTTCAGCCAGGGCCAAGACCAACCTCACCCAGTCTCCGTCTCCCCTGCAGCCCGTCCCTGTCCCAGCCCCCAAACTTGAGCACTGGATCCCAGTTTCTGACAGCAGGGAGTGCGCGCTTCCGTCAAGTTACTCCCACCAGCAGGGCCTCACGGGCAGGGTGGGCCTAAATGTACCTCAGCCGTAGGACTTGGGTGAGCTAAGACATGACAGCTACCACATGTTAGAACTTCCCTCCAAAACAACCTTCTTCGGGGTCCTTCAAGCTCCTTCCAAGAGGGGTAAGCTCTGTGGCGGGAACATCAGACCTACTCTCCTTTCCCTAGCTCCTGACCGATGCCTTAAGCATTTGTACTTAGAGTAAATGTCTACGATACGAGTGAGTGAACTTCTAGATTGCGCCCCTTGTTTGGAGCAGAGATGACCCCGTGGCAATGTTCTCCCGACAGCTCCCTGGTTTGACCCGTGCAAGCATCCTGGGAGCTGCGCACCCCTGAGATGAGACGTGGGTAGATCTGGAGTCTGCGCTGTCAAATCTCCCTCTTCTGGTTCCTTGTTAATATCTAACTCAAGACTCACCCCAGTTCTAGGAAACCTAGGTGCTGAGACTTCTCATGATGGGGTGAAGGGGCTGGGCAGCCACTGCTCAAGTTGCTGTCTTTCAGAACAAACTTGGGTTTGGAGAGGTTAAGAAACTCACACTAAGGTCACACTGGGGGCATCTAGCCGAGCAGGGATTTGAACATGATTCCGCCTTCCCTTGAGGCAGAGCCAGGAAAAATGAGCAAGTGACCCGATGGGTCCAGGCTGCCTTCTGGGCTTCCACCAGCAGAGAGGGGAGAGGCAGCACCAGTGAGGGGCCGGAAGACTCGGGCTATGGCGTCACGCAGAGGGGCGCCAGGCTCCCCAGGAGTTCCAGGCAGAGCGCTGGGGTCAGCCACCGGCATGGAGTTGGCTGCTTCCTGCCCGCCCACACCTGTGCCCGGCACCTGGCACTCACTTGTGACGCACAGCTTGGGGCACTGACTTCTGGGCTGGGGGGATCTGGACACGGGCGGCCTCCCCCATGGCCTGGATCCAGGCCTCCTGCTCCTCAGGGCTCTCAGCACTGAAGAAGTAGGTGCGGACCCCGGCATGCTCAGCCTGTGGGGAGAGGCAGTGCGTGGTACTGTCCGCAGTCTCGTCCACCCTGCACACAGTCACCTGTGGAAAGAAGACACCCACACCCAGAGAGCGGGGTCAGCTGGGTGGCTCCCCTGCCCTGCACATGTCTTGAGTTGCTCAGGGCAAGGTGAGGAGGGGCGCCCACCGCCACCCCAAGTGCTCCAGCTGGCATCCAGGTACTGGGCTTGGCCACCTCTCCAGACCCACAAACAGGCCAATGCCCCCCTGAGGTGACTGTGAGCAGGAAGGACAATTACCCCTCCCGCTCCCTGCAAATTCTGTCTCTGAAGGGCGACTACCCAGTGTCTGGGCGACATCACACAGCCCAGCCTCCCCAAGGGCATGCCAGCCTGGCCGCTGAGAAGCTACCACAGCCTCTTCTGTGCGCAGAGAGCCAGCGGGCCTCCACCCGGGAGGGCATGCAAGGACCATGCACAGGCAGACAGAGCACGCTACCTAGTAGGCGGCCGCGAGCAGGCGCGGCAGGCGGGAACCCCGAAGAGAGCTCCTGTCCGGAGGAGGGGTCCTCACACGGTCAGAAGGAGGAGAAGCAGAGAACAGGTCACCCAAACACCAGAGGAGAGACAGAAGATGACATGGTACGAACAATGAAGAGCGGCCGAGGGGGGCTGTTCAGACTGCCGCCTCTGTGCATTCTGGGCGGGACCACAGCTCCCAGCAATGCCCAGCTCAGCCCCCCGGGAGTGGGGTGGGGCACCCAAGGGCATCTGGGCTGGTGCAGAGGCAGCCAGGGCATCTGAGGATCCCAGCTGTCCCTGCCCAGCTCTGCAGCTGCTGCGGCTACTGCTCTGCTCTGGTCTCAGCGGACACCTCTGATTAATGGGGGGCTCTACCGGTGACACCTGAGGTTCTTAGGCCACAAGAATGAATGCCCCAGAGCTACATTTTTTCTGGGGCTTCGGTATACTCTCCCCCACTGCCTGCTTTACCACCCGCCCGCCCAACCTCTCAATTTCCTAGAAAAAAACAGGGAGCATAGTATATCCCACTCCACGGAGATCCAAAAGCAAGCACCAGCTATAAACCTCACGTAGGCCTCTGACTCCTTGGGCGCAAAACCCGGGGCCTGGGGTGGGTGAGAGGGGGTCTGGGAGAAGCAGGACAGTGCTGGCCAGGGCTGCTCTAAGCAGCAGGGTCAAAGCTACCCTCTCTGAGTGCTTCCCCTCTGGCCCTCACGAGGCTGCTCTTCGGCAGGGCCCTCCCCCAGCGCCTGATCTCTTCTGCCAGGAGCCGCAGCCCAGTGAAAATGTGTCTTGCGTCTGGGGGGGCAGTGGAGGCCTCTTCCCTCTGAACCAGCCTGGTCGGTCCCCGCTCTCCAGCAGGGGGCCCAGCCTGTGTGCAGAGGTAGGGTGCTGGTGACTGACAGCTGTCAGGAGGCCTCGGGGCTGACAGTGTACGGGGCCTGGAGACCAGGCCAGGCCGCCCGGTGGGGTGGAGAACCCAGGGCATTGTGTAGAACGAGACACGGGAGGTACGCTGCGTGTGTCGGGGCCCCCCCAGGAGTGGGCAGCATGAGTCCATTGGCTTACTAAGGCTCGTGTGCCTGGGAAGCTCTGCTCTGGAGGAAAAGCACAGGCCTGTCCTTTGTGCCCAGAGAGTCATGGATAAAAACACCCCCTGGGAAATGGGGGGCGGCTGAGGCCCAAGAGCAATTGCTTGTGACAGGAAGGCCTGGGAAAAGACAGGGAGACTGATGGGAAGCCCCGAGGGCACCCCAGCCTGGAACACTGAAAGGGAGCCAGAGCACTGAGGGAGGTGCCCAAGTGGGGGAGCCCGTCCCCCAATGACCCGGGGCGAGGACACACTTGAGCAGGGGTGCCTCTGGGCCATTATCAGCCACTGGAGTTGTGCTTGGCGACCACCGCAGGACAAGCTCCCCATCCCTTAGCTCCCCTCCTTTCCCAGAGCACCCACAATCAGAACCCACTGTGGGCTGCTGAGCCCTCAGAGTTGGGTTTTAGGGAGGTGGAGCATTCTGGGGAGGGCGGAGGGGCATGGAGGGGTTGAGGGGCACACGGGGGAGTTGGGGGGAGCGTGTCAGTCATCTGCTGACGGATGGCTGCTGCTGGACTGAGTGTGCACAGGTCTGGCGGGGGTGAGGCGAGCCAGGCTGTGACGTGGGTGTGCGTGTGCGTCTGTGTGCGGCAGGGCTGTTTGTTGTTGGTTAAACAGCCTGTTCCTATTTTCCCTGCTACAACCTGGCTCCCTGGAGCCAGAGTTTTATTAATTGTTCATTCTGTTCACACCTCTGGCACACAGGACCCTGGGAGGCTGGAAACTAATTAAGTGCCAAAGAAGTCCCTCCTTGTTCCGGGGAGCGGCACCGGTGTGCGGCCAGGTGACCAGCATCTGTGGGACAGAAAGGGGCAGAGGCTCTGTGAGCCCAGCCCCTGACCTGGCGTCACCTCAGGCTGATTAGCTAACACCAGAGCTTTGGGTTTTCAGGGTCCTGGACAGCAGTTCTCAACTGGGGGGTGGGGGTGGGGGGAGCAAGGGCTTTTACACAAAGAAAATGCAAGCCTGATAGAATTTTGTATTTGGAAAATATAAAGGTCTTTGCATAATAAAATACAAAAGGGCAAAGAATTTTTATCATTTTTAATGGGTCATGAATTTTTAAATGTGGAAAAACACGGGCCTAGGATGCACCAGCCGCGGGCACGTCTTTGATGGGTGGCCCCCAGGGGTTCCCAGGGAGGCCCAGCTTCACCTGCCTGTCGCTCAGGTTGCTGTTAGTAGGCCTCGCATCACTCCGTAACACCACTGAACCCCTGAGAGTTTTCAAAGGTTGGAGTTTTGTATATTTGACTGGTGGTCTAGTTGCCTGAGCCACGGTGGGGAGAAAGACTTTCTAGAAGGATCTCAGAACTATACTAGCCCACAGCTTCTGCCTCTGGGAGGGATTTTCTGGGGTGAGGCCACTGGGCAGAGGGTCAAAGGGATCAGGATAGAACTATTTCTCCCCAGAAGAACCCGTGGCAACTCTGAAGCACATCTATACAGGCCCTCTCTGGTGAGAACGACCCACTGACCCCCAAAGAACGAGAAGGGTCCCGGCATAGGACCATCTAGTAGCACATGTAGTCCAGGGCCACCCCACTCTCTCCGCCACCACCAGGGAGTCCTCCAGGGCCGCCCCACTGTCTCCGCCACCACCAGGGAGTCCTCCAGGGC